TTGGGATACCCTGCCTAATACTCTTCCATCAGCATTCAAACAAAACAAAGACTCGTGCCTTGAAGTGATTGGAAAAAAATGGTGCACAGGATAAGATTCGGAAAGAATAAAAAGCACTTGGCTGATGTTTGCTTTCATTTTTTTTTCTTTTAGCTTGACCCTAGAGCATACCTGCCTCAAATAGCCTCAGTACTCATATGGAAAGATACARAATATTGATGAAGATTGCTGCCAACCTTTCAACTTTCTTGTTGCTCTGACTTGGTGGTAATGTTCTCTCTTTAGCTGAAAGCGCTGTTCTCACATACCATCCAGAATCCATGTCAACACTTTTGAATAAAATTATATTAGAAATTATGATTTGAAACTTGAAAGATCGTAGGTTATTTTTGTGAGCATTTACAGGTMTTGAGTCAAATTTACCTCTTTATAGCATCAATGTTTTTCTTACTGCTTACAGCTAAGCTAGCTTTATACTTCASAAGACGTAAAACATCTGTTCTCGCTCACATGGTTGTGAGACGTTCTTTTTCAAATGGACAATGTATTACAAAAGACACCATACYGAGAACTCCAATCTTATGTCCTCCCACTGCAGTACAATTCATGTGCAACCAGCAACACTCCGGTATTCCTGTTGTTAACCAAGGAGAAGCACTAATTTGCAACTTTGACCAGAAGAGACCACCACCTACTCCCACAGAYGGTGTGTATGTCCCAACGCTTATCCAGTCGAGGCACACTCCCTCCCAGAGAGCACAATYACAGAGAGCCGCCTGTGTCTCTGTGCTGTCTCSTCCTTACACAAAAATTGTGCAATCTCTTTCCAGAAGTTATTTGACTATCCTTATACGATGTATCTGTCTGTCTTTTATAGGTTTTGCTGGAGCAGTTGTAAAAATGGCTATATTTTCTAACWGCCTCCGCCATCTGCTCTGTTGAAGGGAAATGAGAGCTGTGTACTGTAGTTCATCCACTTTTCCCGTGTAAACAGCCCCATGAAAAAGTTCTGACCAATCACACAATACTTGATGCATACCCATGCAAGAAAAAAAAAAATTCTAGAGCTTGTACAAAGATTGAGTTCTACCAGSTGGTGCGAGAACTAAGAGACTATTTTATCACCCAACTACGACAATGAGAACATTTATCTTAATGCCTTGCCTTTTTATAAATCAACCTTAAATCTACTCGCAAGAAAGCAGATCCTTATGTTTTTATGTTTTATGATAAAAAAAAAAGTTTGTTTAGCTGGCCATCTCAATTTAGTAGGTAAGAAAWTTTTTTGGAAAACAGCCAAATGTCAATGATAAATCTAAGAAACTAATCAGAGGATAATCAATTATGGCATTTAGTTTTGCTTTAACTACTGTAATTGAACTCCTAGTTATGATGACATATTTTCAAACAGAATGAAGACACAAAAACAAAAAAGGGGATGATGAAACTCAGCCCCCCTCCCTTTTTGTCTTTTTGTGTTTATTTTTACTCAAAGTCCTGTCAAATGTCAGCAGACTATATTATGAAGAAAGAAAATCCATTTAGTTTATCTTTGCAATCATGAGTTTTTTGCTAGTAAAATATTTCATTAAAAGATCAGTGTTTTCTTTGATCTGGTGATTTAGTGGTCTTTTATTTCATAACTTGTTTCATCTGGAGATGTAAATGAATTTGTAAGATGAATTGCACAGTAAACCATCCAAAAGACACTTTGCATAAATTTACAAACAGATTATACAATATTGACCCTGCTGTTGAAAAGCATCTAAATTAATCATGGCTGCAATTACAAACATGCATTTGCTTACTGATATTCATTCATAGTATCAAAGTCTGTCAAGCTTATGGGTATAATTAGCCACACTGCAAAAAAGAAAAAAAACCATTTACATTACAGCAGTTAATTACATTTRTCTCTGAAATGTTTGTATTCAAAAGATGCTTTGGTGCTCTGAGTCATAATTAATTTATCTTGTTTAAAGGATTTCATTTCATGAATCATGGCACTCAAAGGAATACTAAAGAATTCAATTGTCTGCCTCACAGCTGACTGATCTTTAACTAAACCTTTGGAGAACAAGTGGACAATTTATCATGTTGGTACAAAGCAGTCTTCTGSGATAACTTGCATCATGGTACAGATCTTAACATCCCACTACATACCTTTTAAAATTTGTGCTGTCTATTTTTAATGTTCTTACATGTACTCTTTCATACACAAGATGATGGCTGAAGGGGGATCCACATATTGATTATATATTGTTATACAGTCTCTTGATTAAAAAATTGCAGAGAAATAATATTCTTTTTCAAGAAGCATGGCAAAAGAAAGCATAAGGTTATGAATATAACCACGGTTCCTTGAAGGAATGGAACGAAGTACAACACATAGTTGTATATGGGACACACGCGCCCTCACGC